GCCAAGAAATCGAAATTCTCCAAAGTAAATACGACGACTTCAACGTGCATAAGAAGGTAAGAGAAATTACAGGTAAATGTAAAAACAGAAGAATAATTAAACTTGTTAATGACAATGGAGAGATAATCGTGGACAAAGAGAGTATCAATGATACCTGGAAAAATTACATAAGAAATTTATTTTTTGATGAGAGAGAGAACCAGCCCCCAATACCTACGGAAACAGGACCACCTATACTAGTGGCAGAAATAAGAGCAGCCATAATATCACTAAAAGAAGGTAGAGCTCCAGGACCAGACGGAGTACAATCTGAATTTCTTAAACTTCTTGATGATGAATCTTTAAGAGTACTATGTAAAATCTTCAATAATATCTATGACACAGGCAATATCCCAAAAGATTGGCTACTTTCAGAATTTATTACCTTACCAAAGAAACAGGGAGCAAAAAAGTGCGGAGAATATAGGCTAATAAGTCTAATGAGCCATACATTAAAACTTTTTCTTAAAATTATACATCGTAGAATATACAAGCTATGCGAAGAGAGAATACAAGACACACAGTTTGGATTCATGAAAGGCGTAGGTACAAGAGATGCACTGTTTAGTCTACAAGTATTATTTCAAAGATGCAGAGATATGACTTGCGATATTTACACCTGCTTTGTGGACTACCAAAAAGCATTTGATACAGTTCAACACCAAAAAATGATGGATATTCTAACAAAAGCCCAAATGGATGATAAAGATCGGCGTATAATACAAAATTTATACTGGAACCAATCAGCCACAATAAGAACGAATTTTGGAGGTGAACCAACGGAAATGATCCAGATTCTACGAGGCGTTAGACAAGGTTGTATACTTTCACCTATATTATTTAATCTATATTCAGAGGAAATATTTAGTGAAGCCTTGGAAAAATGCGAACATGGAATACTTCTAAATGGAGAACGCCTAAACAACATCCGTTATGCAGACGACACCGTTATTTTTGCAGACAGTTTAAACAGTTTACAGCAACTAATAAACAAAGTAAATGAAGTAAGTGAAAGATTTGGACTTCAAGTAAATATAACAAAAACTAAATTTATGATCATCAGCAAAAATAAAGTTAGAGACGCTCAACTACTTATCAATAATACACCAGTGGACCGAGTAAAACAGTATAACTATCTTGGAACTACAGTAAATGAACAATGGGATCACTCACAGGAAATAAAATGTAGAATAGAGAAGGCTAGGAGTGCATTCAATAACATGGACAAACTCTTTAAAAGCCACAATCTTAATCTGGAGATAAAAGTAAGGCTCCTACGATGTTATATCTTCTCAATATTGTATTACGGAGTTGAATCCTGGACACTAACTGAAGCAATGGAGAAAAAACTTGAAGCCTTCGAGATGTGGCTATACAGGCGAATTCTAAGGATATCATGGACAGACAAGATAACCAACGAGACCGTATTACGAAGAGTGAGCAACGAAAGAGAGGTGATGTATACCATTAAAAGGAGAAAGTTGGAATATCTCGGACATATAATGAGAAACAGCACTAAATACAGATTACTGAAGGTAATCCTACAGGGTAAAGTATTCGGAAAGCGAGGAATTGGGAGAAGGAGAATATCATGGTTGAAGAACCTGAGGAAATGGTTCTCCACAACAACAACAAACTTATTTAAAGCATCAGTTAATAAAATAATTATAGACAGAATGATTGCCAATATTCGGAACGAATAGGCACTGAAAGAAGAATAGGTTATTTTGAAGTCGACGAAGAGATGGTGTGTATCTATGTTATATTGAAGTGACTTTTCTAAAATCTGCCTATGTGCTTTAATTTGATGTGTATTGACTTTACAGCAGTAAATCCGCATTGATATTAACCAACAATTGAATAATATCAAATATTACATATTATTATGTAGGCTTTTTTTAACAATTTTATTTACCTGTTGCGCTGCTGCCTACCAATATGAACACATGACGCTCGAGACGAAAGGAAAGAATTTTAGTTACCACATAAAACAATCCCTCGCAATGGGAATCAATGTTTAAGGACTTAGAGGGAAGTACCGATAAAAAAAAAATAAAACGGATCATTCGATACAGATAGTCGATACTCAGAGTTCAAAAGAGTGTGTTTAAAATAATTATAAAGACGAATTTAAGTGCCGTTATATAATAGTATTTAAGACGGAATTTTTTCGTATACCTTTTGGTTTTAAGAAGTAATTTTGGTCGCATTATTTCACAAATCGCTCTATATTTTTACATACACCCCGAGCAGAATTATAGCCTAATTAATCTTTTATAAAGAAAATGCATTCATCATCGTCATTTTGTTTTTTGTAGCGTTTACAATGTTTGATTAATATTACACATCTATCATTTTCGACCTTGTCCCGACGTGAGCCAGATCCAAGAAGTACATAATGACTTAGAAACCCGAGGGAATGTTTTAACGAATCCTCTGCATCCCTTTTCCCAGCTGCCGTCGACAAAATTAGTACCGTAAAATGATGTCTTTTTAAATGTCTAAATGACTACTTTGTGTCACTTTTTTAGGTTTTGTGATGATATAGTGCATACACTTTCGGTTTATTATAATTTTAAAAATACTACCTGACAGCTCAATCTTTCCTCTATGTTCAGTGAAAACTATAATGCGCTATATGTTATAGAAATCAAGAAAATGTCAAAAAAAGTTGCCACAAAGTCGCCCCATGGGTAGGGGTTTCTTTGTGACACGTACATTTTTCTGTGATATTTATATGGAATTTTAATTGTGGCACAAAGAAACACCCATATATGGTTTAGAAAGAAAAATTATAATAGCTAATTAATAAAAAAAATTATATGTTGGTAGGAAATAAAACGATATTAAAAAAACATAAAATTTTATTTTACATAAAATTAAACAAAAAAATATTTAAGAATATGTAACGTCTTTTAGATAACAAAAAACCTTACGGGCAAATACGGGTAACTAAATAAAAAGATATTATAAAACTTTATAAAATCCCTAGGGTTATTCAAGTATAGCTATAATTTAATTCTGGAATTTCAAATAAAGCTCGCTTTCCACGTTGCTTTGGAGCCTTTATGGCCATAATCATTTCGCCATTTCTATAAAATATTTCATCCTTCTTTTCAGGCCACTTGCATTGTTTTCCAACACGTTCCATTACATTAACCATTGCTCCTGTTTTGGAGACATTTATGATTTGACCAGGAAAATATTTTTCTTCGAATTGAATGACTACATACTTTCCCACTTCTTCGGATATTCTGAATCTTCGGATCTCCTGAAGAATGTTCGTTTTCAACGCCAGAAATATGTTCATCCCATGAATTATCATCACTTTCCATATATTCAGGTTCGTGTTCATCTTCTAGCAGTATCTGAATCATATGAATTATTTCTCTGGCGTTTTTTGTGTTGGGTTCCAGAGGTCCCAGGCTGAGACTTATCATCATTTTCTGTAACGATATTACAGCAGTGGTAATATCGTTGTTAAAGTCACTACTGCTTATACTTTTTCCTGGTGGAACATTCAAACTTTTTTCTTCTTCTAATCTGCCTTTCTCTGGTAGTTTCCGTTCTTATATTGGTTAGATGTTCAATAAAACTATTGCCAACATTTTCAGCTATTTGGACATCTGCTGTTACAATACGATTGCATAAACGATCTAAGACTTGCTGGCGTTCTAAAGGAAAAATTCCAGTCTTTCTAAATGGGAATTTTAAATTGTTATCCGCTCTCTCATCTAATTGGTTTATCAGATTTTTTAAAAGACTAGGAAACTCATCTTTTGGTATAGGAGAAAGTCTGCTACCGTGACCACTTGGCTTCCATGTATTCAAGATCTTCCGCCATTTCTCCTTCATAGGGCGGAAAAAGGCCACTTCTAGTGGCTGGAGCAAAGTTCATCAGTCTGAGCTCTAGCATGTGAAATATTTTGAGCTATCCTCTGAGAAAGTTGCGGATGTTTTAAAAATGATTTTACCCATTCCACTCCTGGCATATTGTCTTTAAAGTGTTTAACATTTTTGACTTGACGGTCTAAAAACGATTTTATAATACACCGAAGGTCAAAAATGGTGACTGGAAAACCGAAAGCTGATACCGTAATTAAATGGACTGCAAAAACACATTTTCCTCCTCTTCACTAAACACTTTTTGCTGTCCATGTTTTTTGGTGTGCCTGTTTTTAGTTTTGAGCCATAAAGTATTTCGGTGAATGTTGTATTTTTCTGCAGCACCACGAAGCGAAAGTCGTTTATTCCTGATGTCATCAAGAGCTTCTGCTAACTTCTCTTTAGTATAATTGACATAGTTGCGACTCCCAATCTTTATTTTATAGATTCGTGGCATTTTATCTAAAAATAAATTAATATTAGTATTTTAGTCAACACACCAGGGGTTACTTTGTGACATTCCATGTGTCACAAAGTAGACACTGTGTTTGTGCTTTTTTTTTTTAAATATTTTCATGAAACAACGTTAAAACTAACTAATAAAAGATAACATTTTAGAACTAAATTGAGGCAACACATTGTGTTAAAATATAAACTTACTTTGGTAGAAATATCTCTTAATAATTCTTCTGGGCAAGACAAATTTTTCGCCAAACCAAAATCACCTGTTTTCACGACGATCAAATTAGCTGTGGTATGACGGAGTGTGGCATGAAATCGGAGAGACTAGGCCAAGTTAATAAGTTTAAGTTTAGAGGCCACTGTCACAAAGTAGGCATATGTGTCACAAAGTAGCCTCACTTTACGGTATAGTCAATTTGATAGCCAACGCACGATGATCCAGGATGGTGCAGGAAGAAGACGAAGACAGATAATTTTCACTCAAAACATTATAGTCGTAACAAGTGTTCACATAATTTTTTTTATACAATGCAGTAGTAGTAATTAAAATATCTTTTAATATTGATATATAATGTGAAGAAGTATACTACGTTGAAACCATAAACTGTGCTTACCTCTAAAACAGCACCTCTCTATAATTCTATTCTCTATAAAACGGGACTAACTGCCATTATTATAACTAGACTTACTACTACCAGCATTGGCAGCCATTTGTTGTAAGGAATTTATGAACTGTTTCTGGAATTCATCCTGGAACCCGCCAGGGAACTCGCTACGGCTATTCGCGTCGCCTCGACCCAGATTGAGACCCGCCGTGGTCGTTTTGGGCGACGGGAAGTTTTTGTTGTAAGATATTACCGATACAGGTGAGCTGGCACTGGTGTCTGTCTTGGCAGGAGAGCAGGATAGTTTTTGCAGCGCTTTGAGGTTCTCCATTACCATCTGAATGTCCTGCTGGCCATCTCCCTCCGATTTAGTGACTAGTGGAGTTGATGTTGAGTATTCATTATGCTTATTTGATGCTGAAATACAGAGAATAATATATTTATTGGTTTGGAAATTATTAAAATAAATTTAAAAAGTCGTAGGTGATGGTAAATATTATCATTAGTGTGAATTGGGTGAATAAATATAATAAATGATCAAACAAACAAGAATCACCCACTACGTGCAACTCATAGGTTCAAAGAACTTACCGACAGTGTAATAATTTGGAGGAGTAATCTCGGCGGAGTTCCTGGAATAAGTTTCCATTAGTTTCCTTTTGACCGCTTGGCAGTGAGCAGGTATTGGTATCACAGGGTTATGGTGATCTTCTCTATTAATGTCTTTCGTTTGGACATTCTTAACTATCACGCCGTTATCTTCCTTGACTTGGGGAATATCGTTACTGAAAACAGAACCTTCCGTTAAAAAACAAACAATAAAGTAACTTGATATATGACGTTTTTTGTTTTATTACATGTCATGTAAAGTGAATTGAACCCTACCAGTGCAGTGTACTTGTACAAAAGTATTTACGTTAAATAGATATTGATCTTGAGCCAAGATCTACTTGTGGCCAAGTAGGGAGTGTCCAACTTAAACCCTGATATCACAAACCACGCCCACTGACGTCATACACCACGTCCATTAATTTAGCTGCATTATCGCTGATATGTCAATCGTCAAAAAGCACCAAAAAAAGTGGCCTGTCATGTCAGCGGGCGTATCTTGCAAGAATTGTACGAGGTATACCTATTGAAAGTACATTAAAATCAAAAGTACAATAGCAAATGAGTTGAAACATGAAGAGCTATCCAGGTATAAAATATGTATGTATGTATATATATATATATATATATATATATATATATATATATATATATATATATATATATATTTCTTTGTATGGAGTAACAACTACTATAAAGATAGGTGTGTGAGAAACATAAATTTCATGTAAAAATAGTGGAGAAAATGCCGGCGTTAGGGGTGGAATTATTGGCGATTCCACGTGCTTTTGATCTGCTACGAGCTTATACCGCCGGTATTCTCTGGGGTTTTAAGTGGACTGTATTATTTTGAGTGCCTATTGTACGTAAAGAATACGAGTAACTTGTAGCTAATATCTATTTTTCTACGTACTATACTTAACACAAAAACACAATATATAACGGGTACAATATATAATATACGTGGTGACACAAAGTTATGGATCACAATCGCGGAGACAACTTTTCTTATTGCTAACCACTTGATGAGATAGGCACGCTCCGAGAATCGCAACTCACAAAATCACAAATTTTTGTATTAAAAGCACCATCCGTCTTCCTCGGGGGTTACTAGCAGAGAGAGTGGCTTTATCTTTCTTCGACAATCGGTCGCCGAAATTGGGTACTAAGTAATTGTTCATAGGGTCCGAGTACCGTTAGAGATTATCCAGTACCGTTAAAATTTATTTGTAAGGTATTGGAATGAATGAACGTCTTGGCCTACAGGGTGGAGTAAAGTTAATGAACAAGGGGAAATATACTATTTTGAAAATTACAGGGTTGTAAACAAAATCAGTTTACAACCAAATAGGATTTCATCAGACCTCAGTGCTTAGTTCCCGGATAATAAGACATTCCTTGGTGTTTTGATATATGCTGATAATGTGCTGTTTGCAGAAAACACAGATATAAAATTAGAAAAAAATTGACAGCAATGAGCAAAAATAAATTTTTCAAGAGCAATTATTAATTGGGACTTGAGAGAGTGAATTAATTATCTACATCAAAAACATGCTTACCTAAGGTTACCTATAGTAAAACCATGTACATTGGTGCTCCGATGCTTCGAAGACGAAACGTCGTACCGCGAATTCATAAAATCACTGGGCGTAGTAAAAGCTTTCGTTGTAAAGTTGGACGCATCATGCGGCATCGACTTGGGAATGTCCATAGATCTTTGGTGTTTGTCCTCCTTAGCTTTATAGTCTGCGATGGGATGGTGTTTGGTAAGGTCTTTCGCGTCCATGTGTGACTTAGGTGTCTCAGAGTAGGGTTTGAACATCTGAAACTTCGACAGGTCAGTTGGCTTATCTATCTGTTTGGTGAGATTCGCGGGTTTGTCGTTGTGCAACAAATTATCCAACTTAGAGGTTCTTTCTTGATGGTGCAACAACTTATCTTCGTACTTCTTGTGCTTATCTCTTTCTAAATGCGTTGAATGTCCGTGTCTGTCTTTGTCAGAGTACGATTGAAAGCTATGCTTATCTTTATCTGCTGCATACGAATGTGAAACATGTCTCTCCTTATCCGAATAGGCATGGGAACTAGGTTTTTCTTTGCTGGAATACGACGAAGATTGTTTTTCTTTGTTCTGAGCAGGAGCGGAATGTGCAAGGGCAGCGAGTTTCTCCTTATCTACGTAAGCGTGAGAACTAGACTTTTCCTTGTTTGAATAGCTATGGGAACTATGTTTATCTTTACTCGAATAATTATGAGAGCTGTGCTTTTCTTTCTCTGGATGACTACGTGAACTATGTTTATCCTTTTCTAGATAAGCGTGAGAAACATGTTTGTCTTTATCTTTCTCTGAGTATCCATGGGCCATGTGTTTATCTTTCTCCACATAACTATGAGAAACATGTTTATCTTTCTCTACATATCCATGAGAAACATGCTTATCTTTCTCTACGTATCCATGGGTACCGTGTTTATCTTTCTCTGTGTATCCGAGGGCAACGTGTTTATCTTTCTCTACATATCCATGGGTAACGTGTTTATCTTTCTCTGTGTATCCGAGGGCAACGTGTTTATCTTTCTCTACATATCCATGAGAAACATGTTTATCCTTCTCTACGTATCCATGGGTAACGTGTTTATCTTTCTCCACAAAACCATGAGAACCTTGTTTATCTTTCTCTGCGTATCCAAGGGGAACGTGTTTATCTTTCTCCACAAAACCATGAGAAACATGTTTTTCTTTCTCTACGTATCCGAGAGGAACGTGTTTATCTTTGTCCACATAACCATGAGAAACATGTTTATTCTTCTCTGCATATCCGAGGTTAACGTGTTTATCTTTCTCTATATAGTTAAGCAGCGCATGCTTGTCTTTATCTGCATAGCCATGATCACTATACTTTTCTTTTTCTACGTAATTAGGCGTGCTATGTTTATCTTTATCGGGATAAGAGACAGAACCATGTTTTTCTTTATCCGGATAAGTCAGTAAACTGCGTTTATCTTTTTCGGGATTCGTTTGCTTCTCTTTATCTACGACAACATTGGAGCTCTGTTTCTCCCTGTCTGGATACGATTGTGGGCTTCGTTTGTCTCTTTCTGTATAACTATGTGGGATATGTTCTTCCACGGGGAATATGTGTGTGCTGTACTTTTCTTTTTCTACGCCTGTAACAAAGATTGTATTTAAGGTAAAATAAAACAAATGTAAAATACAGAATACGTTAGGACAAGTAGTACAAAGGATTTTGTGAGAAACTGCGGTAACCAAGTATTTACCTTTTTTTTATTATTATTTATAACTAAAGAGCGGATAAAATGCAAACAAAATCCGTAAAATAGTTTCGAAACACAATTCAGATTTATGCTTATAGTCTGAGCCTTCTAAAAATTGCAAGGCAAACAGACGTTGATAAAAGATGTTAAAAGGGACATGGGGAATCTAAAATTTGCATTCCACGACATTTCTTTTACAACCAAGCAGAAATCCTTAGCGAATTGTGCTTCTAGTACTCACACAGAGTAGATCCGAAATAAAATGAAAAAGACAGCAAATATTTGATTTCACGCAAACAACTCCTATGTATCTGTTGATACGTACTTCGACCTAATAGGTCTCATCAGAACAGCTATTCATAGGAGTTCTCAACGTGAAAAATCAATATTTTCTGCTTTTTAAGAAGCAACAATAAAATGGCTTCAATACGGACACGATAGCGACATCTAATTACAAAATCCGTAAAATAGTTTCGAAACACAATTCAGATTTCTGCTTATAATCTGAGCCTTCTAAAAATTGCAAGGCAAACAGACGTTGATAAAAGATGTTAAAATGGAAGGTTAAGTGGAATGCAAATTTTAGATTCCTTATGTCCCTTTTAACATCCTTTATCAACGTCTGTTTGCCTTGCAATTTTTAAAAGGCTCAGATTATAAGCAGAAGTCTGAATTGTGTTTCGAAACTATTTTACGGATTTTGTAATTAGATGTCGCTATCGCGTCCATATTGAAGCCATTTTATTGTTGCTTCTTAAAAGGCAGAAAATATTGATTTTTCACGTTGAGAACTCCTATGAATAGCTGTTCTGATGAGACCTATTAGGTCGAAGTACGTATCAACAGATACATAGGAGTTTTTTGCGTGAAATCAAATATTTGCTGTCTTTTTCATTTTATTTCGAATCTACTCTGTGTAAGTACTAGAAGCACAAATAAAGTATTGTTTTTTATTTTTTGTATGCATTCTGCGACAAGCTTGCCAGTATATCCTAAGTGCAATCACAACGGAAAAATATATAGATATATGAAATTAAGTAATCGGGAAAAATAATTAAGTAAGTAATATCAGTCAGAAAGGCGTATGTATAAAATACTTTGTGAAAAAATATCTCATTGCGAGAAGTTTAATATTCAGGTTTGCCAAAAAACATTTTTAAACGTTCTTAATATTTTTAAAGCTCGTGCCCAAAGAATTGCAAAGCAACATCTTGAATCCGGACTTATGCCCAGAGAAAAACGTGGTAGTGATCGCATAAGCAAAAAATATGAAGAAAAGCGAGTGGCCGTTAGAAAATTTCTGAAAAGTTTGAAAGGTGTCGAAAGCCATCACTGCCGTTCAAAGTCAAGTTGGCAATATTTGTCTAGTGATTTAAATATATTCAAACTTTGGAGGCTTTACAACCAAGATGCTACTATTGAGGTAAAAAAAAACTTTTTTTTCATCACATATTTTCAAGAGAGTACAATATTGGATTTGGAAGTCCAGTAACGGATACTTGTTCCAAATGCATTGAGATTTCTGAAAAAATTAAATTAGAAAAGACTTTAATTAAAAAAAAATGTAGTTTTGATAGAGAAAAGGGTACATAAGCTAAAATCCAATGCTTTTTTTTTTGACAAACTTAAGAAGTAAATCCTAATTTAATAACCTATTCATTTGACTGTCAAGACAATTTGGTCAATCCCAAGGTTTCTGACCAAATTGCCTATTACAGCAGACAGTTATACACCTACAACTTTACTGTGGTTCAAGGATCTTCCAGAGCAAAAATGTCTAAAGAAAACGTTCATATCTATACTTGGATGGAATATCAACATAAGAAAGGTTCGAATGAAATCTCTTCCGCAGTTTATCATGCACTATCACCAGCTGATTTGTCGTCTTATTCGAACATACGACTGTGTGCTGACGGATGCGGTGAACAAAATCGCAAGTCAACAACGATAGGTATGTTGTCTTACTTTTTTTCTAAGGTTGCACCACCTAACATTTAACCATAGAAATCATTTTTCCTGTTCCTGGACATTTATATTTACCATCTGACAGGGTGTTCTGGCAAATTAAAAAAGAATTAAAAAAAATTTCGACCATCAACGATCCTAAAATATATTTGGACCTATTTAAGGAACATGGTAATGTAAGAAATTAAGGGCAAGATTGTCTCGTTATGGACTGAATACTGCTGTTGGTGATTTTCTAAAACCCGTGGGCTCCTGCGTTTTAAGTTTTCCGACACCAAGAGATTTATACTAACATCAAATCGTAGTGAAAATGTTATGGTTCAGGAAGAACCTTTCTATTGCTCGGACACTAGAATACCCAAGTCAATTTAAAAAAAAGACAAAAAGTTGGAGCAGCTTTCTCCAGAAGTTATTCCAATAGGTGTACCAGTAAAACATGCCAAGTTAAAGGATGTAAAAAAAATTATTGAAGAAGCATTTTGGAAGGAAATGAAAACAAAGGGGAATTTAAAGTTCTTTAAATATGTTTTAGAGGGAATAGCACAACCATTGATAGAACCTAATTCTGAAGAAGTTCTTGACGAAGACCATTTTTGTGAGCCAGTGAGAACAGGAGACAATAAAGACTCAAGAATTTAGTTTACGATATATTATATTTTGCTTGAAATATTGTCTGTCAACAACATAAAAAAAACTTCCTTCATATACCCAGTAGGATTCTTATTTTTTTTGTACATAACTTGCCAAAACCAAATTGATGGATCAAAACTTGCCTTATACATTTTTGTTTATTTTTTTTACCAAAATGATGATACTGTACGTTTAAATAAATTAATGTTTAAGTTTTTTTACATTTTATTGTATATTAACACTTGGTGTGCCTTTTCGCTCGTAAAAATAACTTCGGTAAAGGTTTTTTCGATTTTACAAGAAACTTCATAACGTGGATAAGACAAGTTTTGATATGAGACGCCTCAAATGTTCTATATTTATTTGAAAACTTTTTTTCTCTTTAGATAGATAATATTCCGAATAAGTGTTGAAAACTGGTGATAAAATATTCTAAATACATTTATTAAAAACTTAAAATGACCGTTTTGGTTTATTCCTAATCCAAACCTCAATACACCATGGCGGCATGAAGTCATCAAAAATGAGGCGTACTTTCGCGAATTAAACTTACCTTGTTTGCTTTTTTCGGAGTACGACGACTGTCCACCAGCCTTTTCTTTGTTTGGATACGAATGATCAACATGCTGAGCAACTTGGGGTATGATTTCGGCATGAGGTAGACGATGTTCTTCATACGATGAAACTTTCGGCTTTTCTGGAATGTTCCGTTCGATCGATATGTCGTCGGCGTATGGCTTAAACATCTCAGTTTGCTTCGGTTGCTTTTGGTAAGTCAGAGGTTTTCCCTGTTCTGGTTTCACTTTGTTGACTTCGAGAAATTGGGAATCGTCACTGCCGAGCTCGACGACATCGCTTTTGTTGGGATGTATCGATAGGTCAGCGGGTACATCCTTAGGATCAACTTTGGGTGGACTGGGATGCTTAGTGATAATCTCCAGATCTTTATAAGAGCTGGAACTGCTTCTCTCATCTTTCTCTTTAATTATGGTGATATCTGGAATCAAATGGTTCTTTTTCGCAGTATCGATCTCACTATTATTAACTACTTTGGTAACAGTAAGACTATTAGTAATTTCTGGCTTTTCTGTGTTAGTTTTGCCATTGGTGACGGGCGTTATAGAGAGATTGGAATGTTTAACTGCTTTGGTAGTGATCGTGCTGCTATTCGACTGCGAGCTGGTGGACGAAGAAGCGGACCTAGAGTTATCTTGCATGCTATTGATAATTTTCGTCATGACGTTCACGTACATCCACCCCGTCGGCCACATCGGTATGATCTGTTTTCTTAAGTAATCCATAATTTGCTCTTCTAGTAAGTTATCTTTGCATTTACCTTCGAGGGTCAAGCAACGTTTTTTTAAACTTACTACGTCCTTCAAGAATTTTCTAAAAAAACAACATATTAGTTTACTTGAAATTAAAATCATGGTTTCTACTTACTTAGTTTCTTCAGACCAGACAAACTTCCTTCTAGGGAGCTTCAATGCTTTCATATCTTCGTTATTATCACCTTTCGGAAACCTAAAAAAATTACATTAAAAACAGCATAGAATTTAAGGAGTATTACGATAAAACCTTACTTTTGCATGATTTTTTCGCTCTCCTGCTGATACTTCTCTTCCAACATCGGCATTACGGCGGCGACAGATGCTTTTAATTTATTCTCTAAGATCTTCAATCGCCTCTCGCTGTCTTCCAGATCTAGAACTCTAGCACGACGCGTTAATGTGTCTTTTGTACAATTCACATACTGGGAAAGATGTTCGTAGACTTTCACCCTAGAGGATTTACTTATGCTTTTGCTCCTTTTCTCAAGACTGAAACAAAATATGCAAAATATAATATAAATAATATAAAATTTAGATTATTATGTCATATTTATTGTACAACATATACAAAATTTTTATCTGTGTACTTAAAAGATTCTTCTTCTTCTTCTTTTTTATAAGCAAAATGCTTGTTCAATGTCGATTAATGCCTCTATTGGAGGTTATCACTCCATCTTTTGCGTGGTCGCCCGATACTTCTTCTACCGTTTGGTGATTTGTCCCTCGCTATTCTGACTAATCGGGTCTCGTCCATTCTGTTTATGTGTTCGTTCCATTCCTTTTTTCTGTTCAGTGTCCACTCATTTATTTCTGGTATATTGCATTTTCTTCTGATCTCTTCACTCCTCATTCGATCCCTCAGTGTGTTTCCTGTAATTCTCCTCAGTAAACGCATCTCCGCTGTTTCTAGTAGTTGCTGAGTTTTGGAGGTATCCGGTCTTATCTCTGAAGTGTATGTCATTATTGGTCTTATTGTTGCTTTGTAGATTCTTGATTTCACGTCGCTATTAATGTGGGGATTGCGCCATATCGTGTTATTAAGACAACCTGCTATTTTATTAGCCTTTTGTACTTGATTTTTCCCTTCCTTCTCCACATCTCCGTAGCATGACAGTGTAATTCCTAGGTAATTTGTTTCCATTACTTGCTCAATGCTGATACCGTCGATTTCCAGTTTACATCTAATTGTTTCTTTACTGATTACAACTGTTTTAGTTTTCTGTGTAGAGATCACCATATTAAAGTCCTTTGCCCTTGTGTTGAATCTATAGGTTAGTCTTTGTAGATCGTCTTCATTGGATGTAATTAGGGCCGCATCATCTGCATAGCAAAGTATTCTGATTTCTTTGTTCCACATTTTGTATCCTCTTCCTTTATTAATAGTATTGATGATTTCATCCATGATTAGATTGAATAGCGTTGGACTAAGCGAGTCTCCTTGTCTTATTCCATTGCCCATATCTATTGGATCTGTAAGCTGGTCATCTATTCTGACTTCCATATTGTTGTTCTGGTAAATGTTCTCTATTCTTTTTATAACATTTAGTGGAATTTCTCTATCGTAAAGAAGGTGAATTACATCTTTAAGCTTTACTTTATCGAACACTTTCTTCAGGTCTATTAGACATATGAATGCTGGTCTGTTATACTCTAGTGCTTTCTCGGTAATCTGTTTTATGATGAATACTGCATCTGTGCACGATCTTCCTGTGCGAAAACCCTGCTGTTCATCCGCTAAGGTAATTCTCTGATTTATTTGGCCTTGCAATATTTTGGTTGTAAGCTTCAAAGTGGTGTTTAATAAGTTGATAGCTCTGTAGTTTTCAGGTTGTTTTTTATCTCCTTTTTTGTATAGTAGGATAAGCTCGCTTTTCTTCCACTCTTCAGGTATTTTATTATGTTTGATGATTTTGTTAATTAGTGCTGTTAGCTGTTCTGTTAATGCTTCTCCACCATATTTCAATAATTCATTTGGAATTCCATCTTTACCTGTAGCTTTTCTGTTCTTCAGTTTTTCTAAAGTTTGTTTTACTTCTTGTATGGTTATCTCGACTTCCTCGTTTGTAATGATTTCTGGTGTTTCTGGTTCTAACATCATTTGCTGTTCATCATTATAAAGCTTCTTTAGGTATTCAATCCGTGTGTCGTTATCTATGTGTTTCGGTTCGATTAAGTCTTTCATCTCTGATCTTTGGCCTCTTATGAAACGCCATATTTCCTTTTGTAGACCGTAAAAGTCGTGTTCCATTTCTTTTGAGAAGCGTTCCCAGTGTTCGTTTTTAATTTTTCTTACTAGTGCTATTGTTAGACATGTATCTTAAGTAAGCTTTCTTTTTTTCTTTGCATTTTTGTTTCACTTCTGCGCAGAACCACGGAGTTTTCCGCTTTTGGAAATATTTATTTTTAAGAATTTTAAAAAGATTTTAAAGAATTTAAAGAAGAAGATTTTTAAAGAATTTTAAATAATTATTGAAGATAGTTAACAAGAAGAATGTCGCCAGAAAAAGAAAAAATGCCATGCTAATAATTTTGGACAATAGTACACTATATTAAAAATCATTTGATCACAAGAAGATTTTTTAATGTCAAATCTCTATAATTCTACAGGGTGTTAATATTGCCATGAAATTAATAATATAACGTAATTATCTTTTAGCCCTCAACTTGTGTTGTGGAGTCAGGCGGACCCCCAGTACTTTTTAAATCCATGTAAAACTTGCAAATTTAGGATTTATACCTGGCCACGCCATCTACCTTTAAGTTGGTGCACTCGTAAGCCACTCCGATACGCACGTCAACTGTGTTTCAGCATTGCTCTGAGTAGCGAGCGGTAAAGTTCATTTAGGGTCTGTGTGGTACCACGACGATAATAGCTAATAGACGCTAATAAAATAAAGAGTGTATTTCGGATAGCCTAATTTTAATGAAAGTGTAAGGCGGTGGTATGATGAATTAGAAAGCGAGTTTGGTAATTATGAGGACTACAACGACAAAGATTTTTCTCCAGAGAGTGACCATAACTCTGATTCCGAGATGGAAGATCAGGGGGACACTGCTGAAACACAAGAAAGTCAGGCTATAGGTGAAGAAGAAGAAGGGCCAGAAACAACAAATGGAAAGTTTTATTTTGGTAAAAATCGCTACAAGTAGTCTGCTGCTTCGGCCAAAGCAGATTTGAATATTAGAACAAAAAACACAATCTGGTAAAAGTGTTCTGGGGTTGAAAGGACCTGCAAAATTTGGTGATGTCTCTGATACCCTAAAAATATGAGAATATATCGTTGTTTCAAGATAAATTTAGCAATTCTGATAGAACAGAACTGAAAAAACTAACAAAGGAATAATTTAGAGCGTTTCTCGCTATCTTGTTTTTGAAAAGAGTATATGTGTTGCTCGAATGTTTAAGGTTTGTTGACTGAATAGTTAGTGTAAATATGATATTGCTTTTGTTTTAGGTTCGATAATGCAGATGATCGAGAAGAAGGTAAAACTAATGATCGAACTGTAGCAGTGTCTGGGAGAATTTTGTTTTATCGACGAAATGATAAAAGGATTTCGCGGTAGATGTAGGTTCCGCATGTACATACCTAATAAACCTCGGAAATATGGACTGAAAATTATGGACCTAACAGACGCTTCTTCGTCGTTAACCTGATGCAGGTATCGTGATATCATGAAGCTATTAGCTAAATTTCCCAATGTTCCTCCACGTTTTTCTATCTTCTGCCATTCTAGCACATTCTGACAATGGAGCGCCAATGGTAGCAACAATATGGTCCGTGTATCGTGTGGGAGATCTACCTCTATTTCTTTTGCTTTCTACTTTTCCCTGGATGGTAAGTTTTTCAAGACCATTTCTTCGAAGCACATGTCCAAAATAGCTTATTATTTGTTCTGATATTTGTGTTCTTAGCATTTTCTTTATGTTTAGCTGGTCCAGTATAGATTCATTTGTTCTTCGGGCCACCCATGGTATTCTCAGCATTCGTCTCCAGCAGTACATCTCAAATACATCTGTGTCCTTTTTGTTTTTCTCAGGAAGGGTCCAGCATTCCGATGCATAAGTAAAAACTGGAAAAACTAGACTTCTTACTAGTCTCATTTTTGTATTAGTAGTTATTTCATGGCTTTTCCAAATTTTTGTTAATTTTGCCATAGCGCTTTTTGCGATTGCTGACCGCCGCTTTATTTCTTTAGTACAGCCTCCTTTGTTGGATATTAATGAGCCCAGATACACAAATTTATCTACAACAGCGATATTGTTTATCATGACCAGATGATTTTGATTGTTGTTAGCTCTGTCAATTATCATGATTCTCGTTTTATCTCTGTTTATTATAAGGCCCTTCTTTAAGCTTACGTCTTCTATCCGTTGTAGCAGGTGAATCAATTCAGCTGCAGAACTAGCGAGGATAGTAGTATCATCTGCATATCTCAAGTTGCAAATCTTCTTCCCGCCAATGGTGATGCCACCGTTCCAGTCCTCAGTAGCTTTCCGCATTATCCATTCACCATAGATGTTAAATAAAATTGGGCTTAGTATGCAGCCTTGTCTCACGCCCTTTGTGACCCTGAAACTATCGGTTAGTTCCCCATTTATTCTAACTCTGGCATAATTGTTATTGTACAGGCTTTTAATTAGCAGGATCAGATAATTGGGGATTCCCATTTCAGACAAAACCTGCCACATTTTTCTACAATTTGCCGTACGTTTAAAATTTGTTCTCTAGTACCACGTACGGGGACGAAACCTGCTTGTTCCTCCGCAATGTTAGGTAGTAAAAAGGGCTTTATCGCAAATTAGAGCAATTGTGCGATAGTTGCTACATAAATCATTCGCTCCCTTTTTATGTATGGGAATATATAGTGATTGTGTCCAGTCCTCAGGCCATTTACCTGTCTCCCACACTCTTTAACAAATTTGATGTATTATATCCACTCCAACGTCATCTAGGTCCCAAATCATTTCAATAGGTATGTTATCTGGACCGGCAGCTTTCTGACTTTTTTGCCTCATAATTGCTGCTTCAACTTCACTTTTGAGTACGTCAGGTTCCGTCGCAAAACTGGCATCTTCTTGTTGAGATGGGGCGCTAACAGACGCAAGTATCCACTATTTCTATAATGGTTATATTTATATGAGATAATGAGGAGAGATGTTTCATGAAACCAACACAAGCGGTGTTGAGACTGTGTCATGTGGTCATCCAATTGCTAATTCACATCGAAATGTCACAGAAGACAATTGGTTTTCATCCATAGAAATCATGGATGCATTAAAAAAACGAGGACTGACCTATGTTGGCACGGTTAGCGAAACAAAAAGGAAATACCTATGCAATTACTTCCAAGTCGGAGCAGAGCTGAAGGATCTTCCATTTATGGTTTAACAACTATAATTTCCTACGTCCAAAAAAGGGAAGGCAGTTGTGTTAATATCATCAATGCACCATACCGAATGTGAGGACATATAATCTGGTAAACCCGAAATCATTTGCTTCTACAAATTTGATTGTATAATCAAATAAAAGGCGGCGTGGATGCCCTAGATCAAAAATGTTCCACATATTCTACTAACCGGCAAACTTGGCGATGGTAAATGACTATTTTTTTTTTACAATATTGAATATTGCAAGTGTCAATGCACAAATTTTACATGGATGTTATAAAAACAACCAAGCCAGCCAGGAATATCGAGAAAAATTCAAAAAAATATAAAAATATATACAGTGTGTTCCATTAAAAAAAATGTTCTTCACTGTCAATATGAGTGAATTTATATTTCCAACTAAAATTGTGCTTGATTCCCATTAAAGGAAGTATATAGTAAGAAAATGACAATCTTGACAAAAACTTACTTTAAAAGCATCGAGTTAACTTCCTTCGTGAAGAACGCCTTTTTACCTTCTCCCTTATAGTTTAATGCTGCTTCCTTCATCTTCGATACCAAGTCTTCTATGTCTGCTGGTAAATTTTCTGGTAACTTCACCATTTCCTCTTTTTCTAACCTAGTGAGCTGTGGCTTGCTGTCCTTTTCCTTAGTCAGGGAATGTTGAGAATCTGAAAAGAAAAAACCGTTAATAAACTATTTTAGTAGTACATAAACAAAATGGTTCTTTGCTTTATTCTTTAGAATTATATTTTTCTTTAACATTAAACTGAGCATATCAGATATCTTCTTTGATCGGATTTCGTGAGCCAATAAATATCAAAATTATATTGGACTAACAGTCTGCTTGAATCCAAAAGAATGCTCGAACATAAAAGTCTCCCTCAACCTAAAATATATGAATCTCGAATCTTTATATAGATCACTTTGTATGCAAGAACCCACGACAATATTGGACATTCACCAAAAATATCTTGGTGCATTAGTTCACTATTTTGATGGGAAGAATATTGATACATTGGTCAAGATCAATAAATATTGGGCAATTATTTAAATTACACTGATTTTACCCGTATACTAAACCAGAGTATTTCCAATCAGACACTTACCACTTTTATTTTGCGTCAGTACGACATTCGGAGTGACCTCAGAAGGCGGTTTGGTTTGATTTATATTGTTATTATCCAACTGATCTTCTTCTTGAACCACTTTTTTCAAAACAGATTCTATGGCATCCGTGACACTGGTAATATTCATTGGCTTCTTATTTTCTTTCGAGGATTCCTTCTCGATGTTATCCTCCACAGTCTTCAACTCCTCTGGTACGGTCATGTTGAGATCCTCGCGTTTCTCTCGCAGTAAGTCTTTCACAGTCTTTTTAAGAGGATCTATCAAACGCCTTTTCTTCACCTGCAACGAAAAAAAATACAATAAATAAAAAATGCGTGATTAAGTTAATTACTGTTGTGTATTTATATGTACAAATACCTTGGAGCATGGATCACAGAAGATACTGATCAGACAAAAGAAATAAGATGCGGCATTGAAATTGCGCGGTCAACTTTTAATATAATGAGAAAACTTTTTTGTAATCGCGATATCAATATATCGCTCCGGATAAGAATGCTTCGAATTGATATATTTTCTCTACCCTTTTGTATGGAGTTGAAGCTTGGACACTTAAAAAATCCAACATTAAAAACCTAGAAGCATTCGAAATGTGGTGTTACCGACGCATTTTGAAAATATTATGGATGGATCGCAAAACAAACGAACAAGTTCTCGAACAACTAGGAAAACAATGCGAAGTTTTAAATTCCATAAAGATCAGGAAATTGGAATACTTGGGGCACATCATGAGAGGTGAAAAGTACGAACTACTAAGGAATATAATGCAGGGTAAAATCAAAGGTAGAAGAAGCGTAGGAAGACGTAAAATCTCGTGGCTCTCGTGGCTCGAGTGGTTTGTATGCAGCTCAATTGAACTATTCAGGCGAGTAACCAATAAAATTATAATTGCCAGAATGATTTCCAATCTCCGATAGGAGTGAAACTTGAAGAAGAAGATTTATATGTACAATATGCCAAAAAAATATAGGTCTTGACAGGAACTCAATCTTTATTATCAGAGTATCTTTTACAACCATTATTGAGGATCGTAGATTTTCTGAATTAGTTGTAAGCCTTCTCAATGTTTAGATGTTTTGGGAATTTCACTTTCTTCAGCATTGAATATTGAATTGAATATTCGAGCCCCGATTATCCAGGTCCAATAGCAAAAACAATACCGCGTATGTACCACTCGACTTGTTATATCAAACAAGTAAGTTATATTTAAGTTATATATAACTTACTTGTTTGATATAACAAGTCGAGTGGTAGCAACGCGGTATTGTTTTTGCTGTTAGACCTATATTTAAGTTGGGAATTCAACCGCGATGTACACCAAATCCTCGTGGACTTTAAACAAGCTTACGATTCTGTTAGCAGAGAAGCATTGTGGGAGACCATGGTAGAAATGGGAGTACCTGGAAAGCTGGTACGATTAGCACAAGTGAGCACAGAGAACGTTTCCGCACGGATCAGAATTGGCAGCACCACGTCGAAGGAATTCCTCATTGACACCGGGCTTAGACAAGGAGATCCTCTCGCCCCCCTGCTATTTAATTTTGCACTGGAACATGCGGTAAGGAAAGCTCAACCACAACTGACAAACGGATTTGCCGCCCAAGGATCAAAAATACTATTGGCGTTTGCGGATGACGTGGACACAATTGCACAATCCACCAGAGATGCAAAAGAAGTTTTCACTCTCTTCGAAAACAGAGTCAAGGAAGTTGGTCTGAAGGTCAACGAGGACAAGACCAAGTACATGGTGGTTACGAAGAACCCAAGGTCAAGGTTTAGACAAAACGTAACAATCAATGACTACAACTTTGAAGTCGTCAAAGAATTCAAATACCTGGGAGCGACCATAATATCTGAAAATAAATATGAAAAGGATGTGGCATCCAGGATCATTGCAGGAAACAGGGCATATTACCCATTAAAGACCATATTTAAATCAAAAATACTCTCAATACCAGCAACAATAAGAGTGTATAAGACAATAATTCGTCCCACAATAACGTATGGAAGCGAGACATGGACTCTGAACCAGAGGGAAACGACAAAATTACTGGTACTGGAAAGAAAGATACTGCGGACTATCTACGGGCCTTGCAGAGAAGAGACAACAGGAGAATGGAGAAGAAGACATAATGATGAACTCCAGACAGTATATGGAGATGGAAACATAGTACGCTATATTAAAGCAAACCGAATAAGATGGCCACGTGCTAAGATCGAGAGAGGAAAGAATCCTGAAGGCCACATTCTGGGAAAGGTCCGATGGCAGGTGAGTTGGTCGCCCAAGAAAGAGATGGAAGGACGCAGTAGACAGTGATCTACGCAAAATGGGAATACAGCAATGGGAAATAGCTGCTCAGGACCGACAAGAATTGATGAAAATACGCTATTTTTACACTTTTATGTTACGTTATCTCAAAAACCAGGGCCAATTCAGCAATTTGGAGCTCAGTTTCGTACTCAGCACACCAAAAACTTTTCGCACCATACTTCGATGCAATACAATATCGTAGTAGTATACAAGAAATAGTAGTTGTCCAAGTCAGATAGTAACGTTAATATAGTTACAATCAAATTAGTAAAAATCTTAATGTGAACTACTTAAAAAAATACATTTAAGAATATAGCAACATCTATCAAATGTAGCAATAATGGAAAAATAACTGCATACCTGTATTTTACTCGTACTGAACAGTTTCTTTTGGATAGCTTGATGCATGCTAGTGGCTGCTGATTGTACTTTGAGTTTCTTTTCCTTTTGGGCAGGATTGGCAGTATCGCTATCACTATCGGCTGAGCTATCCAAAATTCTTTTTCGGTTTTTGGGTGTCGTCTGCTTTTCTTCACCTAAAACAAAGATAACATAAACTTTGAATGAATGTATTAAAGAGCATTTTTATTATATAGTAATATGACATTATTTAAGAGAATACAAGTTTACAATCAACTACATTCTGACCTGTGTGAATTTAATCGACAGATATAAGTTTTTATATACAGGAAAAAAGTGGCACGGGCAAATTGAAAGGCAAAGAAAAAAGATAGTCACGAAGAAATTGCATAAGGTCCATTCGCTTAGCTCGGGCATATTTTGACAGATTCATAGCTGGAAACCTACAACACAAAATTTCCTATCTCACAGTATTAACAGTTTAAAGTAATCCAACTCTGGACATAGGCCTCCCCCAAATCAATCCAGTGTCTTCTATTTTGCGCCACTGGCTTCCAGTTGTGTGTTCCGATCTTAATATCATCAGCCCATCTCATTTGTGGTCTTCCTCTGCTTCTCTTCCCTAACCATGGTCTCCATTGTTGTATTTCGTGGTTCCATCTCTTATCCTTCAGTGGGGCATTGTGTTCTGCGAATCTCCATTTTAATTTGGCAGCATGTTCTCCTGCGTCTTTTACTTTCGTTTTGCTTCTAATCCATTTGTTTGTTTTTTTTTGTCTTATAAGTCTCGTTTCTAAATTTATGTCGTTCAACGTTATTTCTCTAGTGTTCGGTGTGTTTGTCATTTTTGTTTTTTCCAAGATCATTTTAAAACCTACTTTTTCCGAAGCTTGAAATAGTTGCGTCATCATGGTCTGTAGCTCTTCGAAACTGGTAGCGAATATTACAATGTCATCAGCATGTATCTTTAATGACTCAATTTTCTTCCATTAATATTTATTCCTTTATCTGCCCAGTTAATGTCTTTGAACACGTCTTAAAGTCTAAGTGTGAATAGCTTTGATGAGATAACATCTCCCTGGCGAACTCCTCTGTTGATTGGAATGGCTTTGGTTTTCGCATCTATTTCTATTTTTATTGTAGCTTTCTTGTAAATATTATGTATGAGCATTCTGTATCGGGAGTCTATCCAGCAGTTGTTCATAGCTCTCTTTATTGCCCAAAGTTCTATGGAGTCGAATGCGTTTTCATAATCAACGAAGCCAATGTATCATGTTCAAGTGATATTCATTGGCATTCTCTATTAGCGTTCTGACTGTAAGAAGATGATCCGCTGTACTGTTACCCTTTCGGAATCCTGCCTGTTCTACGGGTTGATAGCTATCGAGCTTCGACGTGAACCTGTTAGTTATTACTCTCATAAACAATTGGTACATTTGGGACAGCAGGGATATTGGCCTATAGTTCTTCAGATTTTCCCTGTCTCCCTTTTTAAAGAGAAGAATTGTCAAACTTTCATTCCAATCATCTGGGACTTCTCCTCTGTGAAGACATTTACACAATAGCGGTAGTGTATATAAAACCCATACAATTTTGGGTAGCACAGTATACTCCCTCTATAACGAACACGGTTATTGCGAGATTTCGCTTATAACGAGGTACATTAGATGTCCGTGTAATTTCTATTGAACTATGTATAACCGGCTGTTATAGCAGGGCAAATTTGGTTATAACGAGAGAAAATAAGATCGAAAAACGTGTTTTTTACGTTTTTGGCATGGCTGTGGCTATAAATAAATACCCTTTTTAATTGCCGCTTGCAATAAACTTCGGAAATTTACAATTTATGATTCACAAGTGTCATTGTAGGGGGTTGACTGTTGACCATTCGCACCTAATAATAAGAAGATCCTAATAGACAAGATGTGGAAAGTGCTTTAAACACTTCAAATCCAAATAAAAAACGAAAATGAAGAAGCATACAACTGTTTCACATCTTTAGAAAATATGATAGATAGAATACTGGACAATTTAAAGCAGTCAAAAATGACTGACTTGTTCCAATTGCAGAAGCAATAGTTTATGTTATCGTTGAAAATATGCTTTATACAGATTTACAGAATACAGATTTTTTGTTTTAACGTATATCATTGACAATAAAAGTAAACAACTTTTTTTCAAAAACGCCATTCAAACAATATTTGGTATCTTATATTGCTCCGAATGGCTTCACTATAGAAAGTTAATATTTTAGAAAACTACATATTCATATGTATGCACAGTATTATTTTTGTTTGATATAACGAGTATAGGGATTGTAATCCAGCAGCATTTTCAGTCCAACTGGATTTTTACAAGATTGGCCTGAATCCTGCTGGATCCAGCAAAATGTGGAATCAAAATAAAAACACGATTTTACTGTTTTCTTTTTGTCATTTATTACTTAAGCTTTTTAATACAAACTAATAAAATAAAAACTCAATATAAAAAGTATCTTAGGTGTATATAACCAAATAATGACGAATAATCCTAATGGATAGAGCAAATGCCACAAATATCATGAGATGAAAAAAACTCGTACTCAGTAAGCCGTGGAAGTGAAACATAGGGATTTGCTTGTGTCGGCTGAGAATTGTCGAGAATGAAATTTTATTCAAATGAACTTATCTGTTGTAAGAGTAGTTCATTTGAAGCAAATTTCATTGATGGCAATTTTAAGCTGACACAAGTTAAGTAATATGTTGTTCTTCCATGGCTTACTAAGGACGAGTTTTTTTTTAATATCATGATAAAAATCAGTCTGTATTCTAAATTTCTAAACAACTGAAACATGAATTATTTAATTTTTTGGAAGTGAGACCTTAAAAAACATATTTTATCTATCGTCTTATCGCCTAACCCACTTCGCGCAGATCTGCACATATAGCCGGTTGCAGAGAAAGCCCTTTCGGCCTCTACGTTGGTCGGTTTTAAGGTCATCAAATAGTCATAAACCATGGACAAATGATTGCCTTTTACTCCTTCGGTCTCACAAACGGTCATTTCTTTTTTCAAAATCTTTTTGAGAACCAGTTTTTTTTTGTTATAAAAGTTTTCTCTCTCTCTCTCTCGTTTCAGTTCAATCTCAAGTTCTTGTTCTAAAGTAAAATTCACGGACTCCGGATTAGCTGGCAGATCTTCTATTTCCATTATGTCCTCTAGCACTGTTTCCACAGTGCTTTTTTTTTTTAACCTATTCTCTATCCTTCCATTGTTGGATATAGGTCTCCCCCAGTTCTCTCCATCTTTCCCTATCTTGAGCTGTTCTCTGCCATGTGGGACCTCCTTGTTTCCTGATGTCATCTTTCCACCTCATCTGTGGTCTGCCTCTTGATCTCTTTGCATTGTATGGACGCCACTTTCCGATGGCATTGTTCCATCGTCCGTCTTGGAGACGTTCATTGTGTCCAGCCCATTTCCATTTCAGTTTTGATGCTTGTTCTATTGCGTCTACTGTCTTTGTTCTGGTTCTGATCCACTGGTTACGTTTTCTATCTCTAAGTGATACACCCAACATTTGTCTCTCCATCGCTCTTTGTGCCTTCCTTATCCTATCCAAATTGGCCTGTGTAAATGTCCATGTCTGTGCTCCGTAGGTGAGCACCGGTATGATACAGGAGTTATATACCTTGCTTCGTAAGTATAGAGGGATTGTTTGATTTTTTAGAACGTAAAAAAGTTTGCCGAACGCTGCCCATCCCATTCTTACTCGTCTCGATATTTCGGCTGTTTGATTTTCTCTATTAGCTATGATTGCTTGTCCTAGATAGATATACTCATTTACCTGTTCTATTTTTTCTGCTTTTATTTTTATTGCCTCTTGGTCTTCCGTGTTTGTCATTACTTTTGTTTTGTTGAAGTTAATTTTTAGGCCTTTTTGCAGTGATTTTTCATGAAGTTCATTCAGCATTAATTCCAGTTCTTGTCGTTCCGAGGAGATCAGGAGTATATCATCCGCATATCTAAGGTGATTTAGGTATTTTCCGTTAATACATATTCCTCTGTTTTCCCAATCTGTTGATTTTATTATGTCTTCGAGGGTCAAGGTAAACAGTTTAGGTGAAATTATATCGCCTTGTCGGACTCCTCGTTTAACTTTTATATTATCCGTTATTAATTTGTCGTCCAGAATTACGGTCATGGTTGCGTTTTGGTAAATATCATGTATCAATTGTCGGTATCTTGAATCTATTCTACTATTGACCAGAGCTTCTTCAACCGCCCAGTGTTCAATGCTGTCGAAAGCCTTTTCATAATTTACAAATGCTAAGTACAGCGGAAGGTTGTATTCATTGGTTTTCTCAATTAAGATTTTAAGCGTATGTAGATGGTCGATTGTGCTGTATCCTTTTCTGAATCCGGCCTGTTCCACTGGTTGGTAGTTATCAAGTTTATAGGTTAGTCGGTTGTTTATTATTCTTGTGAAGGTTTTATATAGTTGTGACAAAAGGGAAATAGGACGGTAGTTGTTTAGGTCTGTTCGGTCTCCTTTCTTATGTATTAAAATTGTGTTGGCATTTCTCCATTGTTTGGGTATTTTACCTTCAAACAGACATTTGTTGAACAGTACTTGTTTATTTATACGACTTAAAACATTTTTCATCTCTTGTCGCATTGCATTCTTTTTCGGCATGGGGAAATAACCAGGATTGTTTAGTCCTTCGTCATACTTTTTTGGATTTTGTAAGTGCACTAATGTACCTGTAATTTCAGAGAGGCGCCGTTCCACAATCCTGTTGCGTACTCGGCACTAAGACTAGAGTCCTGGCTATTTAGTTTGTCTAAGACAAATTTCAAGGTTGTGTCGGCCGTTACAAAAGTGGACTCTCTTCTGCAAAGAACTTCTACAGCCAGTTTTACCGGTTGAAGAGTGGCGATCAACTCATTGATTATTGACCACTCGCCAGCAGAGAATTTTATTGCAGAATCAATGTCTATTAATGCTTTATCGATGCAAACTTGTAGGTTGTAGAAACGTTCCAGCATACTGAGCAAACTGCTACCTGGTGCGGCAGTCAAGAATGAAACTTAATTCCTTGTACAGTACATTAGATTGAGAGAGGCATTTATTAAGCGTAAAAACACTTTTACTGGCGAGAGCAGAAATTCAACTAAAAATTAGACAAATAGAAGAGGTCTAAGAGTCAATGGGTAGGCGTAGGCGGTGCAGTCGAGAGAGAGAGAAAGAGAGAGAGAGAGAGAGAGAGAGAGAGAGAGAGAGAGAGAGAGAGGGCGACGCGATGTTGCAGCTCAATCGCATTTGTGGCATGTCGTACCTGCTAGCGCGATAGAATGGCAAGTGCTGACTCACTTTGAGTAAAGAGGTTAATGAAGACATGAAGTAACTTATTTCGAATTTGACACATTTGCGGATCCGCGCTGCTAGATATCCAGCATATAAAAAAAACGCTGGATCCAACTGGATTGCTGGATGCTGGATCCAGCAATTGCAATCTCTAATAACGAAATCGGATTATAACGAGGTAATTAATCTGCCATTTCAGTTCTCGTTATAGAGGGAGTCTACTGTATATATTTAAAAAAATATTTCAGTTGTTATAATTTAACATATATTCCAGTAAGTATTTGTATTAATGACGCTTATAATTTTATTATTTGTTATTATACATTATATGGTGTAAATAAATAAAGATTGATTGTCGGTAATTCGTAAAGTTGAATTTTATTTATGTTTGTTTACATTAATATTGGATATGAGTATATGTGCTTAGTTGTATAGTACTTTCCAGCCACTTGTAGTCTGTCAGTAACTACATAACTTCACAAAAAAATAATTACTATAAATAAATTCACTAGACAGTTCGGACTGGGAATATCGAACCGACTATACGAATATTTTTCTGTTACCCTAAAGTTATTCTTTTGTTTTACCAGGCTTAATATTAATTCCACTGCTTGGTAAAAGGCTCTGATCTCACAGGAACTGTTAAAACTTAGTTAAGCTTAAAGATACCCACTTACCTTCGCTCTCAGACGACGAGGAAGCATCAGGTGACGAGGGATCGGAAGAGGAAGCGTTTGAACTGCCCTCATCATCAGTCTTGAATACAAGCGCACCGGAATTGACGTAGAAACCTCCGTGGAGCGTCGTAACGTTCCGCGGTATGATCTCATCGTAACCGTCGGTGTTATCTATGAAAGGATCGGACTCATCGTAGCCCATACCTATATCCGCGTAATCGTCCTTTCTTCCTTTTCGCTTCTTCTTTGTCACTCCGGAGCCCTGCAAACAAAATCAACAATATGATTACTTATTTTATTAAATTTAACAACGATAAGAATATAAGTAATACTAACAGAGGAATGATGCCTACTGCAACAGCTTACCTTCTCTCTCTATATTTTGATTACCAACAATTTTCCGTGGTTATGCTCCATTTCTTCCTATTTGGACAGTGGAACATCGAGAAAATGCAAAATGAAGAAATCCGAAAAAATTACAAATAAGAAATCAAACAGCATCTAAATACAGTAGACCAGAGCAATGATGCCGAAAGGCTGTGGCAACAAATGGAAAAATCAATTACGGAGTCAGCAGAGCTAATAGGAAAAAGCAGGAAGAGAACAAGGAAATGGTTTGATAGAGAATGTCTATCTAATGCTTCAACAAGGAACAGTAGAAAGTAAAGAAAACTATGCAAATTCACGCCGAGAAACAAGAAAATTAATTAGAGAGAAAAAAGGAAGTACGAACAACAGAAATATGAACAAATGGAAAGGAATAGGCAACAGTCAAATAGTCGAACATTTTACAAATCAGTGTCAAACGAAAAGAAAGGCTTCAGACCTAGATGCGTGTCTGTATTTAGAAAAAATGATGAATTAATAATAAATGAAAGAACTGCTCTAAACATGGCAAGAATATTTCAAGACTGTACTAAACATACATCAAGAGGAAGAACATGGAGAAAATATATATTTTGGGGTGGACCTACCGGTAGAGGACCCCAAAATAGATGAAACATTGCAAGCACTTAACAAATTGAAGTACAGAAAAGCTCCAGGCTCTGACAATATACTGGCTGAATTCCATAAGTACGGAGGACAAACTCTTCATAGACAAATACACAAACTAATAACACATATATGGAACGAAGAGAAAATACCAACAAAATGGCACGAAAGTGTAATAATCCCTATCCATAAAAAGGGAGACAAAACCAAGTGCTCTAATCATAGAGGCATCTCCCTACTTAATACGGCATATAAAATCTTATCGAACATCTTATTAAGTTGCCTGACACCGTTTGTAGAAAATATCATGGAGGAATACCAAGCCGGCTTCAGAAAACATAGATCGACCATAGATCAGATCTTTACCCTAAGACAGCTGCTTGAAAAAGGATGGGAATTCGATAGAACTATCCATAATCTCTTCATAGATTTTCGGCAAGCGTACGACAGCGTTAAAAGGGATCAGATGTGGAATGCAATGGCAGAACTTTCAGTTCCAAAAAAACTTATCCAGCGTTAAGTTATGTGTGAATAGCTGTGGATCCAGAGTACGGATAGGTAACAAACTCTCAGAACCTTTCGAAATAAGCAGTGGCCTGAAACAAGGAGATGCGCTGTCACCTCTCCTTTTTAATATCATCCTGGAGAAAGTAGTAAGAGCAGCACAACTTAAAACAAAATTACTACTAGCATACGCAGAAGAACACAGTTAAGAATGTGAAGGAGACTTTTAATAAATTGGAGGTAGAGGCAAAGAAAACTGGTTTAAGGGTAAACGAAGAAAAAACCAAATACATGTGCATCAACAGACAAAAGGGACGAGATAGAATAGGGCAAAATGTTACAATAGACCCATATAACTATGAAAGAATGGAGAGTTTGAAATATCTCGGAGCAACAATCACTGCCGATAACGATATCGCGGAAGAGATTCAAGAAAGAATTCAGGCAGCAAACAGATGTATGTAAAGATGTATGTATGAAAGATGTATGAAAGAAACTGAAAGAAAACTTAGATGTTTTGAAAGAAAAAGCCTCAGAAGAATCTTTGGTCCTTATCACGGCATTAATAGCAGCCAAAACTGAATGAATCATATATTGAGGTCAAGCAGATGTATAGAACGAGCGACATAGTCCAAGAGATTAAATCCCAACGTCCAAGATGGGCTGGCCATGTCTATAGATTCCCTAATAACCGCATTTTCAAGATAATAGGGGAGGAAGCCCCCACAGGAAGAATGACCTTAGGACGAATGCGATGGAGAGACAATATATGGTCAGATCTAAGAACAATGGGGCTACCCACTGACCCAACTATTATGGACGATCGTTCAAGATGGAAGCCAGTTGTGAAATCAGCCAAGATCCACCCTGGGTTGTAGTGATACGAGAAGAAGAAGAATATCTCGTATATTTGGCAATCACTTTTTAAATTTTGGTGAATGCAATTTACATATCTGTAAAAGCTCTTTTGAGTGTTCCTTCCTCAATCTTTATTTTTTTGGCTAATTAACCAATAACCATTTGTTTGCCAACGTTGCGAGCGCGGACTAGCTTTTTTAGCTGTGGCTCGTCTTTTTGTTTTATTTGGCTTATGCAATATATCTACGTTCCATACCAAATCTGAGATGCCTCCATTAAGTAGTTCGTCGAGTGTCGACACTTATCTTCTTATGAGCAGCAGTCGAATTGTGAGGAATTTCCACGATTACATATTTTCCTCATTGCCACATAGACATACAAAATTGTTTTGTATTTGACTCATGCCATGTCCAACTTTGCACAAATCTCATGATAGATAGAACACGTGGATATACTCTAATCATGCCGCGCATAGCATCAATGTTTTCCGGGACGCTGTTGTAATGTAAGACTTTTTTTCTCTTTTATCAATATCACTAATAGCAGAAATCTAACCAAAGATGACTATGGAAGATAATAAAATGAAAAAAGAATTTTTCAATAACTTTAAGTTTATACAATTTATTCTATTGTAACTAAATTCCCACAATGCAGAATTACTTTTAGCGTCTTTTAGGAACCGACAAACGGCGCCGACAGGTCAATTAAGGGTAATAATTTTGCAGAATTGATATCAGTTTTACGAGTTCGGATAATGCACGTGTTGTTTGTACCTTATTTTTTTTTGGAATATGGCTATTCTGTTTTTCAAAAACCTTTCACTAGTGCAGGGCTTCCCAAACTTATTCGTACTGTGACGCCCTTGGGATTTCGCTATTCTTTTGCGACGCCCCCTTAAGCCAACCGTCAATAATACTTACCAATTTTAGTACTAGCCTAGTAACAGGTTATAATTATTTGAACATTTATAGTTTTTCTTAGAAATTAAGAACAAAATGAAAATATAGGGATAATGATTTAAAAATGAAAAGGGATATTTATTTATGGCTGATTAATGTGAGGGATGTGCTTGCTTTTTTGACCACAGCTATGAAAACGGGGCTCCAGTTTGGAAATTTTCATTCTCATTTCTTTTTCTAAGTTTAGGTTTGACCTGTACTTGTTTTTAATTACTGCAACTGCAGAAAAGCCCGTTTCGCACAAGTACTAAGTCGGTAAATGGTATTAATACCTTTAATGCAGCAGTGCTGATGGCATGACATTCATGAGAAAGTGAGCTACAAAATTCAGTTTGTCCTTGTCGTATTGAAGCTTTAGGCTGGAATCACAAGACAATTATGTCAGTTGTTTTTCTTGAAGACTTGATGTCAGGAAAGGGTTTCTGACCTAGTCACATTGCTCCATATCATCGGGAAAATATTTCTTAAAGTGTTCCCTCAATAATAACATGTGTTGTGTAAACATATTTTTTAAAGAGAGATCAAGGATTTCTATTGATTTTTGTTGTAGAATACCTTGTAGAGCAGGGAAAACAGTCAATTTCTTGATCTTCTAATTTTTTCTTCCACAAGAGCAACTTCTTGTGAAAAGCAGTAATTTTATCTGTCAATTTCAGGATATGAGTATTGTTTCCCTGCAAAGACTTATTAAAATCATTTAATTTGTTAAATATATCACAGAGGTATGCTTATTTTATTATAAACTCTGAATTAATAAAGTTTTGCGCATCATAATGTGATTCTGTATGTAGATACGTGCAAAAATTCATTTCTTAATTCGTACACACGTGCGAGAACGTTGCCTTTGGACAACCAAAGAGAGTTGCAATAATAAATTAAAGAGGTGTTGCTCGGCCCCCATTTCTTCACAAAGTTTTTGGAAAAGTTTTGATTTCACGGGTCGTGTTTTAATATAGTTCACCACTTTATTATAGTTCACCACAGTTCACTGTTAATAGCATAATATTATATAATATATTATATAATATATTATATAATATATTATATAATATATTATATAATATTATGCTGTGATAGATAGCACATCACAGCACTTAATTCAGGTGTAACGTTCTTTGCTGCTAAGACCTCTCTATGTATGACACATTGCGTCCATTTAACACTTGGAGCCTTGGTTTTGATGAGAGTTTGTAGTCCTCCATACTGTCCAGACATCGCTCGGACACCATCCGTACAAGCGTTAACAGTTATCGCAGTTAATATTATTTTCAGTCATATTATTATATGAGTTTAAAATATGGAATAAATGAGTAGCCTTACAACTTTCACATATTTTTCTGAAAATAAAAAATCCTTACATATATTTGTTTCGTGTATGTACCGTACATAACATATCAATTGAGCATCATCATTACTATCCGTCGCCTCGTCCAGTTTAATGGCAAATAAACCTGAAGTTTCCCCACAATTTTCTCATTAATATCTTCTGTCATATCGTGAATACGGCGATCAGTTGCTCAGCGATCGTATGGTTTTTTTACATTTGGCAACACTGTAAGCTACCATATAAGGGGCAAGAAATGCTTTGGTAGGAATTGATACTCTTGAATAAGAAAAAAAATCTTGAAAAAGAATACTCTTTGATACTCAAAGCCGTGGTACTCAATTTTCTTACAAAAAGTATCCTGGCTTACGTTGTAAATGACTACCAAATGCCGTTTTAGCTTATTAGGAAGCTACTTGCAGCCGCCAACACTTTATGACAAACAACACATTGTGAAATTTCTACATTTCCTTTAGTAACGCAGGTAAATCCAAAATCCAAATATTGGTCGTCATATTTCCTATATTTCTCCTTTTTACTTAAATTAATATTACTGCTCTCACCTGATTCTTCTTTAAACAGAATGCGCCCGGCGCTCACTTGACAGTGATGCCATTGTCGGGATAATTATCCGATTTGCGGATAATTTCGTGGATCATCGGATAATTTTCGGATTGAACAATTTTTTGAATAATTTCGGATAGTTCAAGAGTCTATCGACTTAATGTTATATTTTATTTGATTTATTTATTAATACATATATTTTATACTCATTTAAAATTAAATAAATATATTTTCTGTATTAAAAGTCCGCGCTGACACGCGACGCCCCTGGGACAACGCAGCGACGCCCCAGGGCGTCGCGACGCACAGTTTGGGAAGCCCTGCACTAGTGTACAGTTGTACGAAGAGTAAATTTGTGCAATTTTTAAATTGAAAACTATGGCTGACAAATTTGCTAGATCTGTTCAAATTGTTACTTTGACTGGATCTCACAAACGACGACCAGGATCAGGCCCGAGAAGAATCACGACGGCCAGAGAAGACCGTTCTTTACAGCGCACTTCTTTGCAAAATCGGTTCTTTATGGCTAGATCAATCCAAAAACCCTTTTCAAAATTCTCACGGGTAGACTTTAAGCACTTCCACCGTGAGAAGAAGGTTGAGGGAATTTGGTTTAAGGGCTCGCTGTCCAGCAACGGGACCTTTGTTAACAGCAGCACAACAACGCCTACTACAGTTTGCTAGAGACCACGAGCATTGGACGATAGAAGATTGGAAAAATGTTTTGTTTAGTGATGAGTCCAGGATGCTTCTTTATGGCTCAGATGGTCGCATCAAAACATACAAAAGACGTGAGGAACGATATGATTCTGTTCGATGTGTATGTGTTGCTTTTGGAGGAGGTTCGGTAATGTTTTGGGTAGGCATTTCATTCAAGGGCCGAGAGGAGGGTTGAATGCACACTGATATGTAATGCCTTTTGCTGGGTTTGTCAGCGAAAGCTTTATTTTTATGCAAGCAACGCGCGGCCACACGTAGCCAGGATGGTAACGCAATATCTGGAAACTATCGGTGTGCCAAAAATGAACTGGCCGGCTCAAAGTCCAGATTTGAACCTGATTGAACATGTTTGGGACCAACTCAAACGAAGGGTAAGAAACATAATACCTGCTCCAATAAATCGTGAGCAGAATCGGTTGGCGCTCATGGAAGAATGGGAAGCTTTTCCTCAAAAGGACATCCAGAATTTGATCAATTCAATGCCAAATTGAATGAGGAGTTTAATTCACAATAGGGGTGGTAATACACAGTATTAATAATCACGACTTAATTGTAATTTTATAAAGAAAACAGAAAAAATGTACAATGTTAATTTTTTTTTATTTTTCAATAAAATCATTATTTTGTTTTTTTTACATTTATCATTTAAAACCTTTGTGGTATGATTCGTAAAAATTAAAAAAATGGCAAAAATTTTAGATGGCCTCTTTTTCGTGACGCGCAGTGTATATCGGTTCTAATTTGAAAAATATCTCTTTATTTTAACTTCTACCAAAAAAAAAAAACATAGATACTTACATATTTTGCTTCCATTTCTTGCGCAATTCTTCTGACATCATCATCATTCTCTCCAAACGGATCCAAGCCATTTTCAACACAATTGGAGGAATCTTTCGCGGGTTTTGATTTTCTCTAAAACAAAAAACAAAGTTTACTGAATATTTTCCGTGATAGAAAGCTCCGAATGATACATTTTTCGATCATGCTACAGTGAAGCTTATCAATATCGTCCCCTACATAGGGCAGTTAACGACAGAGGGGGTGTCTCGTTTCATCCCTCGGTAATTTATAATATACAAATCCCTATGAGAGTTTGTGCCCACTGAAGAACATTGTATTAATGTTTACGGTATAGAGTAACTTGTGAGAATGAACATTGCCAAATAAATATAGAATGGAGAGCAAAAAACTAAAATTACTAACGAAGTATTTGAATTTCACACACGATTATGTTTTACGCCTCATCATCTGTCGTTTGGTTTAATTAGAATATAAAAATTCACTTTATTTAGTATTACGTAAGTGATTCTTACTAATAGTGATGTTACGAATATTCACATTCGCATATTTTTGCATATTTGCAAAGTTTGTGCGAATGTTTCACTTTATTTTATCATTTGGTATTAGGTGAAATATCAATTATAAATTAGAAAAAAAATAAATAAATGATGCAATGTACACAAACAAACACAAATTATTTTCTGAAACTTTTATCGTTCGGAAGTTTTTAATGTAGGACAATCATCTTGAACAAATTTAAAAAATTCCTCAACTACTTAACTATAAATAATCCATGTTTCTTATGTAAATAAACAAAATAAATAAACAAAAATAAACATAGTGTGTTTTACAAAAACAAAAATGATATAAAACAAAAACAAAAAAGTATACAGAAAGAAAACCGTAAATATAGAAAACCATGGATGACAAACGAAATATTACAAATTATGGAAAGGAGACGGATGGTAAAAAACAAAAACCTAACAAGATACAAAGAAGTCAACAAGGAAATTGAGAAAAAAAATGTAGCTAAGGAAGAGTACATAAAAGAAAATTGTAAAGAGGTAGAAGATTTGCAAATGAACCATAAAGATAGAGAACTGCACAGAAAGGTTAAAGAAGTAGCTGGAATATGGAAACCTAAACACTTATCGATTGTAACAAACAAGAAAAACCAAATGGAATTAGACCCTGAAAAACAGAAAGAAATATGGGAATCTTAAAGATTTGTTTGGTGATCAGAGAGCAGAAGAGCCCAGAAAGAGATACGGATGGAAAATTAAACATTCTCACCGAAGATGTTTTGCAGGCAATCAAAGACGCAAAAAACAACAAGGCACCCGGCAAAGATCTAATAACAGCCGAACATTTTAAACACCTAGTGATAATGTTGTCAGGAAATTAACATACCTCTGCAATATTTTATATGAACATGGCATAATACCTCATGACTAGCTAATATCCACATAATATATAGTTCTTCCTAAAAAACAAAATGCAAGGAAATGTGAAGACCATCGAACTGTATCCCAAATGAGTCATGCCTCTAAGATTTTTATGCGAATAATTTATATCCGAATTCACAATAAGTGTGAAGAACACCTTAGTCGTTCTCAATATGGTTTTAGAAAGGGTACAGGCACTAGAGAAGCAATTATGGAACTGAAACTGATGGCAGAAAGGTATCTTGAGGTTCAAAAACGGCTGTATGTGTGCTTTGTCGATTATATAAAGGACTTCGACCGCATCAAACCTGAAAAATTGATTGAGTTGCTAAAAGAAGTAGGGTTGGACGGATACGACATAGCTATCGTAAATAATACACACTGGAACCACATAGGACGCGTTCGAAGAGAGAACGGAAACACCAAATAAATCAACATAGAACGAAGAGTGCGTCAAGGGTGCATTTTCTCCCCCTATTATTTAATGTATATGCCGAACATATAATTAGAGCTTCTCTTGAAGATCGGCCTGAAGGTGAGACAGCCACTCAAAAAAATTAGAAGACGCATTGAAACAGCAAGATCTGGTTTCATAAATATGCGTAAAATGCTCTGTAACCCTAAGATATCAGTCTCAATAAGATTGGGAACACTTAAGTGTTATGTGTGGTCTCTATTACTATATGGCTGTGAGACCCGGACATTAAAACAGGAGAATGAAGAAGTACTGAAAGTAATGAACACACGCCCTCATCTGGTCAAAACTATCAAAATTAGAAAGACGTCATATCTAGGACACATAATGCGCCATGAAAGGAATTTGAGCAGCTCCAGGTAATATTAGAAGGCAAGATTGAAGGTAAAAGGGACATAGGACGAAAGAAAAAATCTTGGCTACGAAACATCAAAGATTGGACCCACACAAGAGGAAATGAATTAATGCATAAAGCCCCCAACAGAGAAGGCACTTAGGAGGAGGAGGTTTTACAAAAATTTAATTGACTTTGGAACTAAAATACTGTTCTCTTCTCTCTTAACACGCCAACTGCCGAGCTATTCTGTGTAGGTTTTCACACCAAGAGCCGTTTACTGTTTCTGATACATAGACGTTTATTTATTAGTTTTTGGAAAAGTTCGAATAAAGTAAGTATTTTCAAACTAAATGCACATAATATAAAATAACGGTTGGTGGTGAACGCGCCAGAGCTTCAGTAGCACTCGACCCTAGTATTTGTGTACATATGCCCTATTACACGATGCTGCGTTTTGTAAATAATAGGTACTGATAAAATCACTTTTATTCAAAGGAACATTTATTTACCAACAACTAATATAAAAAAAATATGAAATACAAAATAACACAAAATATATGTATATAAAACAAAACTAACTAAGCAAAAGTTTTTTATAGGCATTAAAATTAACGGAATTAATGTCAACAATCTCAGATATGCAGACGATACGGTACTTATTTCCTCCAATGAAGAAAACCTGCAACGACTTATAAACAGGGTAACCAAAGCATGTGATGAATATGGGCTAAAACTTATGGTTGGCAGCAAAACGGAGTTATAAACATCAGAGCGTATGGCATAGAGTTAGAAAGAGTCCATAATATTACCTATTTGGGCGCAAACGTTAACGATAACTGGATATAAATAAAGAAATAAGAATACGCATTGAAAAAGTCAGAGCCGCCGTTTATAAATTAAAGAACATTCTAATTAATAGATATTACGTTAAACCTACAATCAGATTAATACGCTGCTAAATATTCTCCACATTGCTGTATGGCATCGAGAGACCCATGCCATACAGCAATTACTGGACCCTTACAGAGACATTAATGAAAAATTTGGAGGCCTTTGAGATGTGAATTTATCGACGAGTATTGCGGATAAATTGGGTTGATCGAATAAGAAATGAAATAGTTTTACATCGAATGGAAAAGAGCACAGAAATAACAAAAACGATAAAAATTCGAAAGTTACAATATTTCGGTCATGTAATAATGAGACATCCAAAGAGCTTCTCATCATCATCATTGGCTCCACAACCCATGGTGGTGGGTCTTGGTCTGCTCAAGGATAAGTCTCCATTTTCCCTTATCCTTCCTCCCAACATTGTCAAGTCTTCCTCCACCTGATCCTTAAATCGTGCTCTGGGTATGCCTCTCCTTCTCACTCCATCTATTCTTTGGTTATAAATATGTTTTGGCGGCTCCATTTAATTCATTATCTATGTGATCTAACCACCACAACCGGGGACTTAATAATATCAGGTTTGTCATACAGGCGGTAAAGTTCAAAATTATAGCGTCTACGCCATAATCCGCCCTCCTGTACTCCTCCATAGATATGCCGGAGGATTTTACGTTCAAAGCATCCTAAACATTCTTCATCGCTCTTTGTCATCGTCCATGTTTCCGACGCGTAGGTGAAGATGGGCTTGATAAGAGTTCCCTATATCACTAGTTTCGTTCTTTTTGTAACTAGGCTTGTTGTTAATTTTTTTTAATCCATAATAGGCTCTAATTGCCAGATACAGATTGAACGAATTTAAAACGGATCATACAATTTAATATATGTCTGTTTGAACTGCATTTGAAATAGTGGACCAATATAAAACTTGGACAAAAATAAATCCATACCCGGTGTTAGACATTGTATAAAATATCGTTCAACTATCTGTCTCTTTTTAGAACGCACCATTTTCTAGAGCGCAGCTCAAAGTCAATGTTTCCAATCGCCGTGTAATAATCCGATTTGCGGATCTTTTTGAGAGTTATATCTTCTTCGTATCTTTAAATAAATGGGATATTTGCCTATATTTTTCAATGTATTTACCAATCTACTACAACAGACTAATAACAAAAATAAACTTAATGGTTTGTAGTTATTTCAGAAGTTTGTAGTTATTTTAGAAACATCTAGTGGAATGATATTGGCAACACCGCTCAAAATCTCCATCTCCGATAAACAAAAGAAGGGCTTGCCTAAAGGAGGCCACTCACGATACAGCGGCGTTGTTCAACTTCGTTTTTAACTAAACACTTGCTTTGATCATATTATAGAAAATCGAAATGGCTTGATTTAGCGAAAAATTTTTAAGAGAGTTTTTTAAATTATATAAAAAACAAGAATGCTATAGCGAATAAAAGGTAAAACGTATCACGATAGAAACGCCCGAAAACAGGCAATTGACATTCTAGTTTTAAAGTTCCAAGAAGTAAACAAAGATGCGAATTAGGAGTATGTAAGAAAAAAAAAATAACAATTTTAGAACATCCTATAAAAGAGAATTAAAATTAGCAGTGCAGTCCAGTAAATCAGGTGCAGGGGCAGACGAGATTTATTTTGCACCAAAATATTGGATTCTTTGCACCAGAATCTATACACAAAGAATTTATACACAAAGTAAGAGACGCAAAAATGATTGTTTGATTTGACATGGTCGAGAACCGAACAAATACTGCGGCGCAGTATGGTGTGTGGGCGCACCAGATATACCAACAAATTGAACAACGTCTCTGTCCGATTATTTCGAACGACACCGCTGTACCGTAAGTGGCCGGCTTTAGGAAGCGATAGGTGGTTGGACCACCTATGAATGTGTTCTTGAATTAGTTCAGAATCCAGCAGCCCGCTGAAGTATTGGATTTTTATAATATAATTATTTGACAACCTT